TTATCAATAGTCTAAGTTATATATATTTTCTTTTTTTTTTTAATATTACTGACTAAATGAAGCGTAAAACTGCCATGAAATATGAGGCTATCCAATTCGTATGATATTAAGGTGACGTCAGCAAAAATTCAATACGGCAGGCAGCAGAGATTATTGTACTGTATTTTTTTTAATACTTTCAATTGTAAAAACTATGTGAACATACTCATCAGTCCATTATTTTTGATTCCAGCATTTAGAATATTCCAAAAAGATGAAATCAAAATGTGAAAAAGCACTATAACGTTGTCAGATAAAATACCTAATTATGATGCTAGTTTGTTATGGCGTGATTCAGACAATATAAAGGAGTTCTACATCAAGCAGGTATTGCAAGAGGTAGACAAAGTCGAGTACGTAAATTATAATTTATATAATAAATAATTTGAAAAATGAGACCCTTACTTTTAGAGCGTACTTCATATTCAACAACCTGTTTTGACACTAAATTTATAGACAGCCTGTATCATGCTATAATGAGTTAGCTTTATGTTATACTTCGTTATTTTAAGTCTTCGGTACTTAAAATATAAAATGTACTTTATTTCTCCAATTAATCCAAGTACACTTTTGTTGTAAAAGAAATTGAGAAAATGTTTATAATTTTGTATGTTTATTATTTATTAAATATATTGTAATTACGTTTTAATGCGATATGGATGCGAAAATATAAATCTACTTAAATATTTGTTTAATATTTGTTTTATTTATGAAAATAGTCCCACTTTAGTTTATAGTTTTGAGTATACACACTGAAGGCGCTATCGATAGGCAGTCCCCTTTGTCACGGTACAAGTAAAGAAATGCCACCGCAGAACAAATACTACTTTCAAATCGATTTTCTTCCATTCCCATTAATGAATTAAATGCTCCACGAAATATGTCGTCTTGCGCCATACAAACTTGCAAAAAAAACTGCTAGATTCTAGTCTAGGCCTAGTCATAGTCTAACCAAAGATGGATTACGTTCCATGTATAAGCATTTATTATTTTTTGTATTAATTGCTAGTTTTCTAATTTAACATATTTTGGTCACATTGATCAAATTTTTCGACACAAAGAAAATACTACGAGTCATTCGGATATTTTGCAAATATTGAATTTAAATTGGTTAATATTATTAAAAAAAAATTAACTCATTGCGGCACAGATTTTTATTATCAGATAATTTTTTTTTGTTAGTCCTATTTAATCGGAATTAATTATAAGCATTCTTGCACGGTTTTTTTTTGTAATTCGCATGCTGGGGGTTATGTAGGAGGTGATTATTATTACTAACCACCATGAAGAAAATGACAAAAATTAATTTAAAAAAATGGCTGTATTTTCGATATTGAATTTTAATTTTAATTGAAGCTTAATTTTTATGCTGATCCTCGAAACATGATAACCCTAGGCGTTAGACTCTTTGTCATTCCCATCACTAGATTCCGCGCGATGAACACACTAATTTCCTCATTAGTAACAGATTTGAAAGGACCTTTCTGTTCCGCTCAACAATTTGGTATGGAATGTTATATGCTGAATAATCTCTTCAGTCCAGAACAATAGCTTAAGGAGTCCGTTCTTTATGAACAGCTAAGCATGATATTTGTACAGGTCTATATGGTCTGTAATGAAATGACGTATTCTTTTGATTATAACATGCTTTTTTCAATTTTGGAGTGCCCGAGAAGCAGGTGGAGCTGATGGCGGTTGTGAAGTGGAAAAGCTGGCCAAGGGAACATCATCATCAGACCAAATTCTTCGACAGGAGATATTTCCACAGAAGTTTTCGCCGAGAATAATTTCGCTAGGTTCTTTTTGATCCACAATAATGGTTTGATCGTAGGTATCCAGACCATCTTCACCCGCATAGCTTTCATTACCAGAAGGGATATTAATATGTTCTGATAAAATATATTCAATATCCCTTCCGGATAACGTCCATCTCGCCAAAACTGTAGCCTTATTGAACGGTGGTTACCGCCGCTAAAAGAGCGACCACAGCTTTTTTGTAAATTTTAACGTTGTTTACACGGACAATCATAATATATCAACTAAATTTTCATAAAGTTTATACGTAATCGTAAATAATTACCGAAGATCGGAATAGGTCGAGTTTTTTTACCTGAACTTGAGGAACGTAGACAGAAAATGGAGACTGCCTTACGAGAATATTTTTTAGGTCCCAGGCATTGATAAGTCAATGGTCCCAGGACCTTTTCGGGATTGGGGAAATCAATTAAGAACATTAAAAATTAACGTAATTGGGAACTGGCAGGTACATTATATTTATCTTAAATTTGCAACGCACAGTGAGACGGATCTGCGATATTGCGAACATTGGATTTTTTTTCACAATACCTCTAAAAAAATGCCAATCGAGAGATCCTATTGTCCTAATTAAATATTGTCATATCACATTTTGCCATACCTAAATATAATAGTTTAGTAGGAAAAAATAAAACGTGTATTTTTTGTATCCAATCAGTCAAGAGCCAATGAAAAAATCTTCTCCCTCTTCTTCTTCTTCTAAAACACAAAACCAATAGATGTCACTTTAGCCAAATACGAGCCTTCAAAGTGGTGGTGGTGGAGGAAAAGAGGTAATCCTTATTTTATACTTAGTAATTTCACTTTATATTTATAGATGGCGCTGTCTTCTATATAAAAATAATTATAACGTGGTCGTTTATTGGTAATTAAAACCACGGATATGGCTCATGTATGTTGGCATGTGTCATGTATGTAGGATGTCTAAATAGACGTCACTTGTACGTACATCGCGTGCTCAATGTATAAATAGTAGAAAAGCTTTTAGTTACGTGACAGCGTAGTAACGCTTCGAACGCGTCCGGACAGTATCATAATTAAACATCAGTCAAAAACGCGAAAAATGTCTAAATTGTGCCATTAGAAACTGCACAACCAATATAGCTGTCAATAAATGAATAAACAGGGACGTTTCCTTCCACAGTTGTCATTTTATAATTACATATATAATTTATAGTTTATTTTCATTTTGAATGAATTTCTAGAAAATAAATATGCAAACGGGTGCATGCCGAGTATTCGTAATACAATGCGGCTTTTACTTGGTGCGGTACACTTGTGGTCCTTCTTCGTAGGCCATGAATATCGAACGAGCGATACTTTCGCATAATGCATTAAGTTTCGTGGTACGGCCGCTTCGTCGTGTTTTTGGTCCAATTTTACGATAAGAGATAGTCATTTGATCCGACACAATGTTCGATTCTGATCGATTGAGGAAGCAAAGGGTTAATAACTCTTGAGACCTTCGAAAGTGTTATAAAAATATTCTACTGTTTGTTGTTTTTTTAGGTTTGCTTTTTTTTTCAAAACACGTAACACAATAAAGGACTCAATTAGATAGGTTAATTAAGTTTTCTGGTAATAATAGGGGTTAAAGTATGAAATTGCCGATTTGTATTGAAAATCTAAATTGTTTATTTTTTAAATTTTTAACAAATTTATTTAATCCAAACAGCCAAACAGTTACCATTACCTTTTTATTGGTAAGTTTTGCTTTAGGACACTGTTGTGGCATTTGACCTGGGGTCAGCCATTGCATTTTTCTTTTCCGGTTATAAAGAATCCACTTTTCATCACATGTTACAATTCGATCCAATATTCCTTCATTTCTGTACCGGTTCAACAAGGCAACACAAGTTTCAACACGCGTTTCATTCTGCGAATCAGTCAAATCATGAGGCACCCATTTTTCGTATTTTTTTATTTTATTGATTTGACGCAAGTGAGTCAATATTGTGGGTAAGGTAACGTTAAACCATGCCGCTAATTCCTGGGTAGTTTGACTAGGATCGGCTTCCACTATCTCTCTTAATTCATCGTTATTCACCTGTGTGGGCGGTCTTCCTCGTGGCTCGTTCTTTAAGTCGAAATTTCCATCACGAAAGCGTTTAAACCAAAATCGCACGGTGCGTTCATTAGTAGACCCCTCTCCAAACGCAGCATTGATATTGCGGGCTGTTTCTGCCGCGTTAGTTCCGCGTCGGAACTCGTATTCAAAAATCACTCGAATTTTCGCAGTATCCATCTTTCTTGTCTAAATTGAATAACAAAAACAATCGAAAGTCGATATTCAAATGTTTCAAATTGAAAAAAAAAAATCACAGAAACCATTTGAAAAAAGTTTCATTCGAAAACCTCAAACCATGAAGATTCTATGAAAATTCAAAGAACCTATTGCAATAAAACGGCAATTTCATACTTTAACCCCTAAATTTTACTTTATTAATATTTCTGCCGTTCATTAATAAAAACGCGGCTAAGAGATAAAATATTTTTTTGAGATTTCATATAAAACCATAACCCAATTTTAGAATATTGAAATTGTTTAATGATATTTCAGCAATGCATCGTTAGGGTAAGTTTGTATAAGTCGAAAACGCTAACTAATTTTAACTATTTGTAGAAGAGTATTTTGTGCTCTATTTTTTGCAATTTAAAACGGTTATTTGACCATTTGTCACTCAGCCGGATTTTGGTTAATGAACGGCAGATGTCACGGCTTCTTATAATCATCGAATACTTGAAAAATCATTGTACTAAATACGTGCTGCGTCCACGTCTTCGATTTATTCAAGTGCTTTAGTGCCGAAGGAGGTTTCCCATCACTAAATAGTGCTTGTGACTCATCGGAGTTACAAAAAATTTGGATTTTTTTCCATCCTTTATGATTTAGATATATTATTGTCTGTGGTCAAATGCGATTAGTGAAGTTCACTTTATACGACACTACTCTCGACTCTGACCAAATAATGAAACAAAGAGACGATAATTCTTATGACCTCAAAAATTTTCTGTAACGTTTTGTCGATTTTTGTTTACTTAGTAGGTACCCACGTAAGCCAAATTTAAGAGAAAAATGGATTGAGGCGTCACGATAATAAATAAACTAAATGCCACACTAATTTCTTTAATAAACTTTTTCATCCTACATTGGTTTTTTACACATGGTAATAACTAAGTATTTTCTAATTTAATGCACAGCGGGAGCCACGTAAAAACCGAATATGGACTTTAACAATGTGTTATTTTGCAAACGTATTGCAATGGGCATTAAATTCATACGTATACGTAACTGTAGTTTATTTCAGGCGGCGGCGTTCTAAGACACTACTATATTTCGGAACATTAAAAACAATTACCTAATTCGAAGGCGATAGTTTTCGTGTTGCATCTATGGGCTCGTGGATTGGGAAATAAACTGGGTTTTCGCTTAGATCTTGAAGGTGTGGATACTGCTGAGCTGCGACCGCGACCCGGTGGACATCTGGCGGGTCAACCGGAACAACTTGCCGTTAATCGACGACGCCGCTTCCATCTTCCTCAGAAATATATTTTTCGAAGGTACATTAAGAGTTTTCTCTGTTATCGTCTTATTGGATTCACCACAAAAAGAGTTAATTAAAGAATCCGCATCTTGATCCAAATTGAGAACATTCGTCTGCGACTCCTCGTGCCACAGTTTTTGCAAGTTCAGAGCCATTAGCTCCAGCTGCACCTGCGAGAGCTCTCGGATCACGTCGATCTGTACTGACATCATGTGGTCGCCCGATTTCAACATCGAGTTGAGGTTCTCAAGCACTTCGGCACGTCGCTTCTGGATACTATACTGGTTGTCTACGTTGCGCTCGAAAAACGCAAGTTGCTCGTACAGCTCCGCCAACTGCAATAAGCACGACATGTACTGCGCAGAATGGTGCTCGAGATCATAGTAGTGGCAGGCACGCAACAACCACTTATGCGTAAATGCGAATAACTTCCGGGAATCTTCCACGTTTGAAACCATCTCCAAGGGCACTTTGCTCTCCATCGCTTTTAAATCCAGACTGGGGAACAAGTACAACTTCTCCGTGTTGAAGTCCCCTTTCCCTGATTTCTCTGTTCTAGCGTCTTTTTCATTTTCATCCTCAGCTTTCTCAGAATTTGTTGGCGTATCAGGGGTTGAATCGGCGATTCTCCACAAATCTGGACCCGAATTCGATTGAGCAAAGCAGCGATTCAGAATGAGTTTTTTAGATAACTTAAACAAAGTCAAACCGTATTTTACCCAATGGTGACTCAGCTCAAGAAAGTGTACTTCAAAGTCCGCTTTTTGCAGCACAAACTCTGTAGGCATAAGCTTGCAGTTGTCATGGCATGTACGCAGTACATGGTATGCAGCACACAGGTGGTGGCGGGCGTTTCCCATTTGATTAAGGTACGTGAAATAGTTGCCTAGACGAGCAGTGCGAAGTGCCCAGTCCTGTGGTGTACCTTCCTTCATCTCCAATTGTCTTCTCAGCGCCGTGTGATTATACAGCGTATACTTTTCCGGGAGATTGAGCTTGTTGTATAGAAAAGCCTGCATCTGCACGTTGTTCGTAATCATCTTATCAATCTTTTCGGGGTTGATTCTCCTCAAGTTACTGGAGTTATTGCCAGTGAACAGATCCTCGGCATCGATAAACTTATCAGGTTGCTCTTTGCTTATCTTGTCGTACCAGTCTTCCATGCTTTCCAGAATATCGCAAGCAAGGGCCGTTTGATCGAGCTGGATGAGATAATAGCAAAGGAGATTTTGGATTCGGAGGAAAATGAAAAGGCATTCCTCCTGCATGGCGTATGGTTTCAGTTTCTCGAAGACATTGTGAAGCGTGTTTCTTTTTTCAACGAGTGAAATGGGCATGGTTTTGACGGTGAGCACTGCTAGGTAGCCCTCCATGGCAAGGGAGCGCACATACTGTTCGTGGTTTTGCTGGCCGAGCACTATGAGTTCGGTACTGAGAGCCTGGATGTCGTGCTTCAAGACCTGCACGCGCTCGGATGAATGCTTGTTCTTCAGGGCGTTCCTTATATTTTCAAACGTTCTTGCAATTGGATATGTTTCCATGTTAATGTAAAAGTACTATTAATTTTAGTTAGTACGTTAGCCTTGACTTAAATTCTTTATTGTATGATTTTAAAATTCTTTCAATTTGGAAATGTCAAAATTTTGATAGAAATCCGTCGTCTGTTAATTTCTGCAGAAAAAGTAAAGGAAGTTGATTTGTCTCGATTTTATCTTTTTCTTCGTCCAAAGATAATTTATAAATCATTCTCTTTCTCAATAAATACCTAGTACCTGTGTCATTCAGTATCCATGATGTGTATTATATATAACTATTGTACATTTATTAGATCTAGATAGATATATGTGTTATGGAAGAATTGTTGAACAATTATAAAAACCTCCAGCCTCAACATTAAATTCTACGAATATTTAATAATAATAATAATGTGCCAGACAACGACAAGCTCAGAAAATGTTAGGAAACAGGTTCTTAAATATTTTAAGACCCCCATATACAGATGATTCCTCGTTTCGATTTATCGCTACGACAATCGTATCGATGCGTCGGTTCTTTCCTGGCGTTCGAGTTAATCGTTAACGTCATAAACATACACTATCGATTCGTCGCTTATAACCATTGACTTACAATTATATGGACGTCGGGTCCGCGCTAAAAAGTGTCCGCACTTGTAAGGCGCTAAAATCGTATACAGAGCGCGACACTCTGCTTTAGTCTTCATTTGTTCTACTGACAGCGCGATACTGCGATGACATTACAATTTAAATTTCGAATAGGTTGACTTGGGACATTTTTTCGTGGTTTTTGTATTAGACCCGTCGTCCATTTATTTGTAAGTCAATGCTTATAACAGTTTTCCCGCGGCCGCCGCGACAAGTTACCACGCCTCCATGTATGTACATTAATGGCGAATCTGAATTCTATTTATTAGGCAACAACTTTTAAATTCCTTTGAATACTACAACGGCGCGGTCCACCGCGTAGACCAAATTCAAGCCAGGCATGCCCGCGTGGCCGGGATGCTTATTTAAATTAAAACGTAAAAGCCAAACAAATAGAGCGTATTTTGCCATGACAGTTAGACGATGAAATTCGTGTCGAATAGATGCGCTCTAAAGGAGCCAGGAATTAAAGGGCGAAAAAGCCGTTACGCATTTCGCTTTGCTCCGTTCGGACCTCCAACGCAAAACAGACGTCTTTTACGCTTTTATCGTCATATTATTAAAACTAACGCACACACTCAACTAATAGGTCCCCGATCCTATGAACATCTATGCACCCACAGATTTGAAAAGTGGTACAAACGACAAACGTTTTATACCCGACTAAAACTCCTTTTATTGGATAATGAATTCTATTGAGTCGACAACTTTCTTTTGAAACAATTGTAATTTTGTTTTACTTGACTTCGTTGGGTTTCGATAGGCAGTAGTTATACTACAATATTTTATATTAATTATTACTGTTTGCGTTAGTGACGAACATTATTATCAATTGACATTGCATTTTGAGTTGTAGTATTGTGACGTCTAATATATGAAACACATGATTCTATTCTAATACGTGGATACACAAACATTTTCAGTGTCGAAGTATGATGACTCCGCTGTTTTCTCGTGGTCCTACTAAACCCAAAAACGAGGGATCTCGAAGACAAATCGTCCCGTGTATAGGGGCCTTTAAACAACATCTTGTTTATTTTTTTAGCCATCATCTCACCCGACAAATCTATTAAAGTATTTCGGCGTTAGCAGCGACATCGCTAGCCAGAGCTGGTAGCTGTAAAGGTACCTAACTCGGCGAAATACTTTCACAAAAAACTTGTTTATTTCAATGACATTGTTTTTTCAATGTAGCAACGTAAAAATAATAAATAAAACAAACAATACCTCGTAGCAAAATTTATTTCACAAATACCTGAAGGCATCTATTCACTTTGAACGACTATCCCACTTAAAACAGAATCGACAAACGTAGTTTCCATAGTCGGATTGAGTATTTAGTTACTATTAACGGCGGGTTTACATTGTCTTAGTGTTAAGTAGATAGTATGTACAGTAATTTCCGTGCACTCACTATTCTTACTGTAGCAATATTAGTATAATTATAGAAAAAAATACTGAGTGAACGGAAGAGTAAAAGACTTGCCTTTGATATAGTGGGCCAAAAAATTGTTGGCATACTGAAACAGAGGGAGAATAATCGAATCGCGATGGTATCTCATTATTTTGTCTGTAACAAAGTGCACTTGCGTACGAGTACACTGTATTGTAGTAATACTCTAACCAATTACTAGGGCCCCTTACTCTATAAGTCAGAGTAAGGGGTCCTTGTAATTGGTTAGTGGGAGGTGTAACAAGAGTTAAGGTGTTACGGTACCTATTAGCAGCTAGGACAGTCGAATAACACTTGGAGCTGTTTGAGGGAATCGTTTCGCCCCTCAAGTTCGCACACACACACAGTTTGTTTTCCTATCGCCATGTTTTGTTATAGGTACCTAGGGATGAGAAAAATTGCTCATTTTTTTAAGCGTTTAAATATTTTAGCTTTTTTAAAGAAGCCAGCTTTTATTGACACTTTTTAATTTGAAGCTTAAAAAATCGTTTAGAAAAACGTTTGAGCGCTTTTATGTTAAAAAAAGCTTGTGCACCGTAGTGTTGATGGTGAAAAGCGCGAGTAGACTGAAGGTTTTTTTGATAAGTAAGTTTATTTGTAAAACAAGAGTTTTATTTTTATTTATATAATTGTTATTTACATTGATGAATTGATTTGTTTAGGAAACACAGATGGCGAGACTTGCAACATAAGGAAGTTGTTAACGCTTTTCGTTTAAACGCCCACCTCCATTTGTGCCTGATAAACATGTACAAAGACATTTATGGAAAGAGATATATACTATTAATAAGGATATATGTCCTGCCTGCCCCTACACCTGCACAGGCAAGGACCTACACAACGCCACTGACAATGCTGTGTCAGTCGTTAAGTACTGGTCCTCACAAATATAAACGTCAGAGTCGACACGCTAAGAAGAAGAATAAAGATGTACGGGTCAAGGACTAAAGTTTTACTTGAAATTGACAGCAATAAATACAAGTATAGTAGTAACACGTACAACGCTCGCGTTCAGAAAGTTAGGGCCTGATTGGCAGAGTAGTGTAAAAAAGGGCTCAATAACTAGGGGCCACGCCCACCCTTGAATCAAAGCCCAAGAAATTGGGTAGTGTAAGCGTTTTAACCACTTACATAACACACATGTACGGGTGTCAAAAAGATTTTCCAACTTGCGGTTATCAGGGTAATGTGCAAAAGCAAGGTTTGCAAAGACAAGGTTTTGCTGGATGTCACCAAGGTTTTTGTATGCGAACAAACAAGCATTATCGTACGAGGATTACAGCATGGAATCCTTCGAAAGCCGTTTGAAAAGGGTCGTAAAGGGTTGGTCTCTGGTGTTGCAGTTGCCTACATAATATAAACTAAATATATGCCCTAGAAATATAGAAAATAAATGCCCTACGTGATGCTCCTAATGGCCCAGCGGTTAACACTATAGGCGCTTGACGGAGAGGTCTCAGATTCGATACCAAAAACGAACTTTTCGTTATTCGTTGTTTTGGGTATTGTCCCCAGATATGATTTCACTATTCTGGTACTCATAGGAGACTCTATCCTATGACCAGGTGACTGATGTGATTAGCTGGCGCATTACCAGCTTTACATGTGATACAGGGTTTGCGGCGCAAGAAAAGAGTAAAAGGGTCTAACATCGTTTATAATTGCACCATTTGCACCCGAATTTCCAATCATTGGGGAAAATAATAAAAAAATATTCAATTTTCATCGCTTTCTGACTAGAGGGCGCCAGGGCTGGCCTCACACAGTCGGGCGTCAGGACCTCACATAAGCTAACACATTACAACACAATTAACATAAGACAATGTAAACTTACCCATTGGCTAAAGGACATGGTCGGGATGCAGCATTTTTTCCTTTATTTAAAAAAACGACTTATTCTATAATCCTTAGTACCTACTTTCGTTGAATTACCCGAAAAGTAACCTTAAACTACGTACAAATCAATATACCTAAACTCCGACGGCAAGTGCAATAAATAATATTACAATAAACATAAAAACAAATACGGTGAATTTGTGTAGTTTAAACAAAGAAAAACTACAAGAAAATGGTAATGCTCTTTACTTACCAAAGGTTGACATAATTTGTTCTAAAATAAAACTATTCAAATTACATGAAAATTACTATTCTACACCAGCACAATGTACTTTATAGTAATATTACAACTTTTTTATATATAAAAAAGACTTCAAAAGTACGTGAAATTACATCTAATTGCCAAGTTTTGTTGAAACGGTTGCCGGCAATTGCGCGAAACTGGATAAATTCTCTAGTTCGCCACCCTTAGAGGTGGAATATTTTTTTCAAATTTAAATGGTATCAATACTGAGGTACCTTCTTCCCAACAAAAAAGAATCATCAAAATCGGTTCAAACACACAAAAAAATACAGTCCAATTCAGAACCTCCTCCTTTTTTGAAGTCGGTAAAAATGTATTGTAAAGCAAATGACGGGTAACTCCACAGTTTGCAATCCTGCAGCCCGACCAATCAGTGGCCTTCCATTCACTAATGTCACGAAATAGTTCAACCGCTTTCTATGGACGCAAGTTCTAAAATTTTATTTCCATCTGTTTCACTTTTTCGACACGTCATTAGTTAATGAACGACCTCTAATAAATAAACACCTAGTCAAACAAAAACTTAACATTCTGACCGAATCTTTAAACAATAATATTATGTATAAAATGCAGAAATGTATACAAAACAATGTGATAATATAAACATATATATATAAATATATCTCTGATGTTCTCCTTCAGTTCTTACATTTCCACCCTGAAATAAATAATAGTAATGATAGTTGTTTATTTCAATCCGTAAACCATAATTTTAAAACAAGCGTCATACTTAATTTCGACAAACACTACTTCCATTCGACAGTACTTCGCCTACACATTAATTCGACGGAACACTACTTCGACAAAACACAGGTTACTAGTCCGACAGATCACTGCTTCGACAACACAAACATTGGATAGGTCACACACCGACAGAAAACTGTTTCGACTACTATGAAATCGACTATTAACTAGTTATTAATTATTTCTTAGACATATTTATGTATATGAGATATTCCGCTCAAGAATGAAGTGGTCCCTAAATAGTCTGTCGAACACGTGTTTTGTCGAAGTAGTGTTCCGTCGATTTAATGTGTAGCCGAAGTACTGTCGAGTCGAAATAGTGTTTGTTGAAATTTAATATGACACTCTTTTAAAACATCAAATAACCTTTTGAATAAATAAAATACAAATAATTCACACAAAAATAAATGAAATGAACAAACTAAAAATAAGTTTATGCAGTGATGCTCTACCTAAGTGGCAATTTCGAGCTAGCGGTTGTAATTGCAATAGGCAATTGATTACACACAGCACATTATTAAGATAAAGATATATAGATTTTTTCGTTATAACTTAATCTAATACAATGAAACCAAATGTAAAGGAAGTTTTTTTATAATATCAAGTGAAAATCAAATAACAGAAAAAAAAAATAGAAAGCTTTTTCATATAGACGGACTCAATGAGGATGTACGTGTTTTTTTAATACATAAAATCAACATCCATGCAGATGCGGCAACAACCCTGATGTGCACATTACTGCTTTTCTGTTTTGAAGGGTCAGATGCTAGTGAAATTCCAGGCCATGGGACTTGTCAACTTGTCCTAGGTAGACTCAGATCTTAGCGATTAAAGTCTAAATGGCACTGTAATGGTCATAGATAGCTTACCTCCAGACGCACTTACTTGTGCCAGCACTTGATATCATAAAAAAAATAACATATTAGCCTATAAGTTAAACTAGTAAGCTCGAGTCATGGCATTCGCTTATCGCATGGCAGATATCGCTAAGTAAAATTGGGTACCCAAAATTCGCATTAGCTTCCGTGGCATTCTAATATAACTCCAATGGCATCTCTTATGGTCACCAGTTATTCAATTAACGTAACGAAGTAAAAGTTACTTGTATAATCCGTTGAACTGTTGACCGCTCGTGCTACATCAGCGGTTCGGAACCTGACTTGAGCATTGAGAATACGACCCTAAGATTTATAAAACGAACTTAGACTTCGATTAAGCAAAACTGGCGCGCTAAACCAGATTTTCGTATTCACAAAACGAAAAAGCCTAAGTTTAAGCAAGATATCCAATTAAACTTAGAGTTTACTTTGATAATTTCTTGCCATAAACTTGCTTAGCTCACCATCTTTTCTAAGTCCAAATCAAAGTTCGTTTTATAAATCTCAAACTTAGGCTGAATTTTATAAAATAACTTTTTTGTAAAAAAAAACCGGCCTCAAAAGTCAGTCTAATTACATCTATTTTCCAAGTTTTATTGAAATCGGCTACTGGAAAGTGCGCGAAACTGCATTCATCTCCTAGTCTGCCATCCATAGAGGTGCAATATTTTCTTCAAATTTAATTAGGACCACTATTGAGGTACCCTCTTTCCTACAAAAAAAACACAGTCTAATTGAGATCTTCCTTCTTTTTTCGAAGTCGGTTAAAAATGAAGAACATAAAGTTAGACAAAGTTTGTTTTAAGAGTACGAAAAATTTGCTCAGTTCGCCATTTTTAACCAACTTCAAACAAAAGGAGGAGGTTCTCAATTGGGCCGTATATTTTTTATGTATGTTACGCCATAATTCCCGGCTTTTGTGAACCAATTTTGATCTAATGAACTTCTAATCCGGTTTTTTGCACTTTCCGGTAACCGACTTCAATAAAACTCGGCAAATACTTAGATGTAACTCCACGAACTGGTTTCATTCAATATTAGCCTAGTCACGGGAAACGTTATTTGCACAAAGCTCTTTATTGTAGTGTATAAATATGTAACTTACATGTAAGTACATTTGTGTCACTCAAGTTCAGTCTTGTCGCGGCTGGGAGTGGTGGCGGCGCATTGCCCGGCGTGGCGAAGCGGAATACGCCCTGACTCCTGCGCAGAACTTGCCCGCGTGAGTGATCATCTCAAGCCGCGCCGATGCCTCCACCTGACCGAAATCATTCTCCAGCGTGATGCGGTACAATCCCACATCATCCGGCGTCACTTCGTCTATCTCAAGAATCCTAAGCATCTCGTCCTTTTCCTTTATTGTGATTCGCGATGATGGTGTGATTATGACACCGTCCTGAAATGATAGTCCTGGGGATAAAGGTTTAGGCAATATGTGCAATCAAAGACAGAGTGTACAATTTCTCAACTTGAACTACCTTTACAAAACTATGATATTAAATGAAAATAATTATTATTGTTTCATTACCTAGTCATAGAATAAATATCAACATATTGTATATAAAAAAGCATTTTCAGCAATCGTTACTTAATGAGGGTTCTGAAAGTGGAGTTTCCTGTTTAATAATTTATTTATTGTTTATTTTATAATAGGTACGAGATTTTATATAAGACCTAATTATGTAACGATTGCATACAATACTTTTTCGAAGAGTAAATAAAATAAAAAAACACGACCAATATTGTGTAAATAAAACACTCGGGCCTTTTTTCTTCTAATTACCGACTATGGATGTAACGAGAACAAAAATGGTCCGAGGGTTTTATTTTGGGGCATTATTATAGTCAAGGTACATGCAATCGTAAAAGTGTGATGAAAAAGATTGTATGTTTCACGGGCGGTACGGGAATTACGAACCTCGACCAAGAAACTTTTAATAGAGCCTCGTTCGTAATCCCTTATTTACCGCCCTTAATGCACAATTCACTAATAGTCTCCATGTGGATTAAACATGATGAAATACATTAGAAATTTTAAATGTCGTAAGCATTGACTTACAAATAAATGGACGACGGGTACATAAACGGGTAAATAAATGGAATACAAAAACCATGAAAAAAATGTCCCAAGTCAACCTATATAAATGTAGTGACATGTAAAGGAATATGAAAAAGCTAAAACGTTGAATTTAAATTGTAATGTCATCGCAGTACTGTCTAATTTTGCTTACTTCGCTGTCAGTCGAACAAACGAACACTAAAGCGTGAATGACGCTCTGTATACGATTTTAACGCCCTATAAGTTCGGACACTTTTTAGCGCGGACCCGACGTCCATAGTCAAAGTCAAAGATTATTTATTCCATAGGTAAAATAAATTTACACTTGAAAACGTCACATTTAAGCTACTACGTTCACTACGCTGACCTCCCTGAGAAGAACGAGCAAGAAACTCTAGGGATTGCTCTTTTCAAATAAACTTAAATGCTATGGAATACACTTGGAATCAAATTTGTGTGGATTCTGGAGCCATGTCGTCTTTCCATACATCTTTATCTAACACGTAGTCTTAAATTTTGTAATATGATTTTTCGATTAAAATATTTTTAATGTAGTTTTTAAACTTAGGAAATGATAAACTTAATATATGCTCCGGAATCTTAATGTAATTGTAAGTCAATGGTCGCACGGGACAAATTCCGTAGAACAAAATGTACCTTAAGGCAAAATGTCACTTACGACTGTTTAAAATTCGATACATCAACAAAATTATTAATACCTTAATAACGGCGGTGGAAATTTGAAATGTCATAAGTGAATTTTGTGAAAAGGGACATTTTGTCGTAACGGTAAATGTCCTATAAGATATTTCAAATCTGCATCATCGTATTTCGCTTGGTTTACTTTTGCCTTTGCCTCTTTAAAATACCCTTAAACTAAATTGAGGTATGGTCGTGGTTGCATCCAATAGTAAAGTGAGCTGGTACCTTGTCCCAGCTGGCCCAGGGTGCGGGCAAGCCGCCGACTGCACACTGGAACACCACCGTCTCGCCCTCTTCGACCACTTTGTTGAACGGTACCGTATAGAATTTCGGCGCCATCTGCCGCGACGGGCTGTGCAATCTTCTGTCTGGTACTAACCATTTAAATGCCAAATTTGAATATGTCAAACTGTTAAATATCATAGTTCATTGTTACACAGTAAAATTTCATGTCAACATCAACAAGGAATGTTATTCAGTCAATTCGTAACAACATAATCTCAGTACAGAGTACTAAAAAAACCGACCTCAAAAGTACGTGGAATTGCGTCTATTTGCTAAGTTTCATTGAAATATCCCCTACTTCGCCACTATACAAGACTTGATACTGGAGATAATAAAAATAGGTTCTCACTACGACACTACTCAAAGTATATCGAGGGAAAAACGCCTTGAATTGGATAAATAGCAAAATCAACTAAATAATTGCTAAAAGTAATTGCTCCTAAATTAAAGTTAGGCGCTATATTTATAAAAATGAATCTTCATTCGTGAACAGCCATCCTTAGAGGTGGATGATTTCCTTCAAAATGAATTGGGACCACTATGGAAGTACCCCCTTTTCAACAAAAAAAGAATTATGAAAATCGGTTCACAAATACCGGAGTTATCGCGTAACATACATACAAAAAAAAAAAAGAACATAGTCGAATTGAGAACCCCCTCCTTTTTTGAAGTCGGTTAAAAATAACAACCATCAATGTCAAATGTATAAAAGAATATAATGTATTGTTTATATTCTTTTTAACCGACTTCAAAAAAGGAGGAGGTTCTCAATTCGACTGTGTTTTTTTTTGTATGTATGTTATGTTACGCGATAGTTCCGGTATTTGTGAACCGATTTTCATGATTCTTTTTTTGTTGGAAAGGGGGTACTTCCATAGTGGTCCCATTTCATTTTGAAGAAAATTATCCAACTTTAAGGGTGGCTGTTCACGCATGAAGATTCATTTTTATAAATAACGTCTAACTTTAATTTAGGAGCAATTATTTTATTGGATGATTTTGCTATTTCTCCAATTTTAGGTGTTTTTCTCTCAATATACTTTGAGTAGTGAGAACCGATTTTTATTATCTCCAGTGTCAAGTCCTGTACAGTGGCGAACTAGGGGATATTTCTATAAAACTTAGCAAATAGAAGTAATTCCACGTACTTTTGAGGTCGGTTTTTTTAGTACTCTGTACTGAGAATATTAATTTTTAACATTCTGTTTATTGTAGTATTATATTATACAATGTGTTGATTTGCATTCTCGACATATTTACAGAGGTAATTCTATATATGGGTTCAGTTTCCCCAAATCACTAAAGAAATAAATCGTACAAAAATTTCGTAAATTCCTATTTTTTATTTAAATGCGTTAATCAAATTTGATCCAAAGGTCATTGACTTGCACTGCACTTGCTACAGGTACCGGCAAACATTTTGAATAATGACTATAACAATATATTTGGTGGTGGGGTGCGGGTAGCGACGGCGGGGGAGTGTCGTATCACGCGCGCGATTGGTAGATCAGTCGACCTTGCTTCCCGTACTGCGTCTACGTCACACTGACATCCCGCATACATTCTATTCTAGTCTATTACGAAATGCTATGTGGTTTGGTATGTAAACAAGAGTTGATAGTGCAAAAAAGAACCGCTTCTAGGTTCACCAAAACCTGCATGGTAATCCATCAAGTACAAGTGCGTGTCTATTCTTATGGGGTGATGTGATACGCGGAGGACACGAGTGTCGAAGTTTCTGCTTTCAAAGTTGTGGCGTCTAATGTTGATACGAAAGTCACGTGCGAATCTCTGTATAGCGGTGGTGGCTCCATCAGTTGTGGAACTAGGTACTTCTAGCAATACTTTCATGTAACCTAAAGTTGGTAAGTACCAAATCTAAGTTACAAAAAACTTTTTTCAGCGAACTTTTCTAATTAATGTAAATAAATAGTAAATTATAACAATACTAATACATACTCATAATTAAAAAAATTGGTAAATAAGCGATCGAGAACGATTACGTATCGCTCGGTGAAGCGGTTTGCGGGGTCACTGCCCTTGTGTGGTGCATAGGAATTGAGACAACTTTGCAAAACTTTAGATACAATTAGTCAAAACATTGAACAGAATATATTTTTTATATTTTTAGACGATTTAGCATTATTTCTATTAAGTTCTTAAATATGGCGTGAAAGCAAATCGACACACTGTATTAAACAAATTATTGCATGAGAGTGCATGTAAAAAAAAAATACTTTGTATGCTGCAAGACTCACCAGTGATTCTATGAGAACTTGTTGTAACCTATGTATCACAAAGAAATAAATATATTTGAATTTAAATTACCTGGCGTTCTGGCCCGCGAGACAGAGCGCGCGGGGGTTGTGCGTGGGGTGGAACGAGGGGTGGAAGCAGCGGAGAGCAGCGCCGGCGGCCGCCGCAGCCGCTGGCTCAAGGTATTGGGCTCTCCCGGCGCTGCATCAAAGAATGTCTCTATAAATCTCTCGTAGCTTACATCATGGCCTTGGCCTAAGTGAGGACTTAACGTGTTATTAGAAAGCCAATCACGCCAATGACTAAGCCCTGTGTGATCAGCGGTATCGACGGCAAAATGGTTGAATATAAGAGCGGTAACACACGGTGACTTTTAAAACGCACAATTGCATACGCTACACTTGTGATTTACAAGCGATTGCACCGATATAATGTTCCTGTAATTTCCGCCAGCACCCTTACCCTTCAAAACCAGAACGCAACTGCTTGGCGGCAGAAATAGGTAAGGTGGCAGTCTCTACTGTTACTAAAATTGTTCCTCAGGTGCGATAACTCACGGTAGACGATGAGGCAGGCGCTGGATGATGCCTTGCCGAGGCTATTGGACGCCTCGCAGGTGTAGATGCCCTCGTCGTCGGCAGTTACTTGCTTGATACGCAGTCGCACCGCGCCATCGCACATACTGCTCTCCACGTACTCGCAATCACGAATCAACTGCATAAGGAATAAATTATTGTTTATTGAAAGTAAAGGAGAGGATTTCTGCCGTCCGCCGTGTTTTAGTCAACACGGCTATTAACAAAATAATTTTTTGAGATATTAAAAAAAACCGTAAACCAGTTTTAAAATATTGATATTTTATTAACTTTAGTAGTATGCATAAATTCCAATATGTCGGACAGGTTAACTAACTTTAACTGTTTTTAACATTGACTTACAAATAAATGGACGACGGGTCTAATACAAAAACCACGAAAAAAATGTCCCAAGTCAACCTATTTAAACGTAGTGACATGTAAAGGAATATGAAAAAGCTAAAACGTTGAATTTAAATTGTACTGTCTAATTTTACTTGCTTCGCTGTCAGTCGAACAAACGAAGACTAAAGCGTGAATGACGCTCTGTATACGATTTTAATGCCCTATAAATTCGGACACTTTTTAGCGCGGACCCCGCGTCCATATAATTGTAAGTCAATGGTTTTTAAGTAAATAGTGAATTTTGAACTCCGTTTTATGTTAGATATTTAACCACTTGTCACCTAGCCGCGTTTTATTCGTAGTTGTTAGACGGCAGATTTGCGCTAAGGATAAAATGACGTCTCAGTACTAGCAAGTTATGCCCTTAAAAGTCTTATTGCTTAATTGGCTGCGGGCCAGCGCCAACTCCATCCTGAGGCCTGAGTGCAAACTTGTAATCATTCAAATTTAACTACCGCGTTTGCGTTTAGATCTTAATTATATGTCCATAAGGTTTCAATTTAAATCTTAACGCAAACCCAATAGTTGCGTTTTCATATTTGAAAACTTGCACTAAAGCCTGATGACCGTGGCGGGGAGATATGCCCCATTAAGCGCCATTTCCTTCAAGTGCTTGTCAGCAAAAGATGTTTGTAAGATAATCTCAGTACAGAGTACTAAAAAAAACCGACCTCAAAAGTACGTGGAATTACATATAATTACCAAGTTTTGTTGAAACCGGTTACCGGAAAGTGCGCAAACCCGGATTCATCCCCTAGTTCGCCGCTACACGCGACTTGACACAAGAGATGATAAAAATCGGTTCTCACTACCCAAAGAATATTGAGAGAGAAAAACGCCTTGAATTAAAGAATAGCAAAATCAACTATTCAAATAATTGCTCATTGTACTAAAATTTAGGCGCTATTTATAAAAATGAATTTTCATGCGTGACAACCACCCTTAGAGGTGGATGATTTTCTTCAATATTAAATGGGACACTATGGAGGTTGCCTCTTTCCAACAAAAAAGAATCATGAAAATTGGTTCACAAATACCGGAGTTATCGCGTAACATACATACAAAAAAAAACAAACAGTCAAATTGAGAACCTCCTCCTTTTTGACGTCGGTTACAAAAGAATTTGCTAACAAACACCACTAAATATCAGTATTATTCTGTTCATGTTTTTTCTTATTATTAACGTAGCTGCTAAGAAAACTGTAACTGACCAATTTATGGCCCCGTTGTCTGAATTAAAGACAAAATAAAAATATAGATAATACACTTTATTGCTCAAAAACGAAAAGCAAAAACAGTATATAAGACAACTTAGAATTAATGTGGGCAAAGGCGGCCTTATCGCTGAGAGCGATCTCTTCCAGACAACCTTTAAGGCAGCGCAGAACTGAACAGAGAGGAAGACGTAGTGTGCCAGACGAAAAAATTTAAATGCACGATTAAACTTAAACTTACACTTAAACTTACACTATCGTATTATGAAATAATAAGTGACCATAATATTATACACTGTGTCGGTTTGTTTGGCCACAATCTCACCTATGGCTATGTCATGCGAGTTATGGCAAAGCGGTATGTGGACGACTTCCTCACCTCGTTGTAGTGGAACCACCTGATGTCGGGCTCGGGATTACCCGAGACGCGGCACTCGAACTCCACTACGTCGCCGTCATAGCTAAGCAGGTCCGTCAGGTTGCGCTCGAAGCGGGGAATCACCTCCACGCGACTGCACATAGAATAACAAAGTGACCTAAGAGACACGGAAGTAAAGACAACTACCCCTACCCTTCCTGTATGGCGCAACTCACACTGGCGCAGACTCGAAGCGTCGCGACGCGTCATTATTTCGCCTTTAGCATATTCATATTCACACAAATAATCTCAGTTCAGAGTACTAAAAAAACCGACTTCAATAGAGCGGAATTACATATAATTACCAAGTTTTACTGAAATCGGTTACCGGAAAGTGCGCAAACCCGGAGTAATCCCCTAGTTCGCCACTATACGGGACTTGACACAGGAGATAATAAAGATCGGTTCTCACTACTCAAAGTATATTGAGAGAGAAAAACGCCTTGAATTAAAGAATAGGAAAATCAACCATTAAAATAATTGCTCATTGCACTAAAATTTAGGCGCTATTTATAAAAATGAATCTTCATGCGTGAACAGCAACCCTTAGAGGTGGATGATTTTCTTCAATATTAAATGGGACCACTAAGGAGGTACCCTCTTTCCGGCAAAACAATCTTCATGATTCAATTGGTTCACAAATACCGGAGTTATCGCGTAACATACATACAAAAAAACACATACAGTCGGATTGAGAACCTCCTCCTTTTTTGAAGTCAGTTAAAAAATACAGATGAATTGAGAACCTTCCTTGAAGTTGGTTAATAATAGTAATCAATGGTCAGTTTCCCAAAAAATACTTTCAATTCGTCACTATATTGTTATGGCCATGCTAAGTAAAAACCACAGTGCTTACCCGTATCTCACGTTGTGGTCTTCCGTTGAACTGGGATCTATAACAGGGGACAAACATTTCAGATCATTTTCAGTCCAAAATAGGTGAAACGTCAATATTTATACACTTTTGCTGTAGGGAGCAATTACCCTGACAATACTAATAATACTCTATAACCCTTTCTACGCTTTCAAGTTCTTAGGTTTTTGAGATTTGTTACACATCTGAAATGAAACTAACCACTTAGGCCCTGTACTCTCGTTCGACATCCGTTCGAAACAATAAAGCGTGAAATACAGAGAGACCGGGTGCGGCTCGGGCGCGTGTCGGGTCGGGAGCGCGGCGGATCTAATTCCCGCTGTGCTCCCGACCCGCCACGCGCCCGATCAGCACCCGCATGCTGATTTTGATCCAAATCGGAACCTAACCGATCGGGTAGTCGCGAAATCAGATGGGTTTCCGAGCGAGAAGATGGACCTGACCTTGACCTTGAACTTGACTTAGTATAACTT